AAATGCCAAGCTCCGTGCTTCAAACTTTTAAATATTAATTGTTATAACCACCTTTCTTGAACACCCACTGTCTTCCTGCACTAAGTTAGATACTTTAAAATAACAGTAACAATATAAATAATAATAATTATAGCTTATTGAGCACTTAATCTGCATCAAGCCTTGTTAACAGATTTATATGCATTAACTCTCATCCTCACAACAGCCTAGTGGAGGTCAACGTTATTGCCCCATTTTACACAGCAGGAAACACGTTCAAAGAGGTGATGTGACTTGCCCAGGTTCACACAGCTAGAAAAGGTTACAACTGAAAACTTCCACTCCGATATCCTGATTCAAGTACAACTTTGCGGGGTGGGGGTGGGGGTGGATAGGGAAATCTTAAGGACAGGAAGAGGTGGGCCAGGATGGCGAACAACGGTCAGGAACGTTGCTCCAGAGACAGACCCAGGGTGTTTGAAAAGGGGGATATAGGACCTTTAGAAGTGGAGAGGGGAAAATAGAGGAAGACACGGGAACAAAGAGAATTGTTCTTCCTGAAAATCTGTCACTCCTGGGGCAGCCTCTGTCAGTGGTCCTGGATCTGGGATCTGGATCCCAAGGTTCTAGTCTCCGCTCTGTGACCAACTTTCTGAGGACCTTGGGCAAATGGCTTATTCTCTCTGGACCTCAGGCTTCCTGCCTGTAAAATGCAGGAGTAAGCCAAAACAATGGGAAGTGCATTTTGGCTGGGGGGTCCTTGGGGGAGTTTGGTCCTTGCTGGAAGCAGGGGGATGTTCAGCAACCACACTATCTTCACTTAGCTGTTGCCTGGTCTCTTTTCAGGACCTTCAGGCAGTGACATGGGACCTGATAATCCTATAAACTCAAAACGGTTTGGGGCGGCTCTCAATCCACCTTTCCCAGTCCGTTCTGAGCTGTAGCATGGTCCTACCTGTAGGGGGCGCCGAGGGCTCACTCAGCTGACAAAGCCAACTGGAATTCTTAGTGAATTATCCCAACTGGTCAGTTTTGACTTGCTTTTGTTTAGAGTGAGCTTTTTGGAACATGGTTTCTGTCCTCAGTATACAGTCGATGAAACCGAATTATATGCATTGCTCAATAGCAGTCCTCTCCACAGTGGCTCTACGGTTAGAGCTGATTTCCAATTACTTTGTTTTACAGATGAGAAAAAAGGTTCTAAGAGCTGAAAAAAATTCTCTTACAGTCATATAGCTAAAAACTAGGGCTCCTGGGCAGTACTCTTAAGAAATACTTGGCTCTAATTCTGAGTCTGTGATTATTCTGCCCCCTGATGCATAACTCCAGGGAACAATTTCAATTTTAATTGTGTAGCTCCACAGCTCAGTACCTGTCAGCTCCGGAGGACCTCCCTCAGCACCTAGCACAATGCCTGCTTAATGAGTGATTGAAGGGATGAATGTGTGAATGAGCCACAGAGGCTGAGTCTGCTTTGGCTTTATTAAACCTTTTGCAGTGGGCTTCTTTCCTGAAAGCTCCCCCAAGACAGGAATTGTATTCTGAGATGGTAGTGGGGGATTGTGGTGAGAACAATAAGAAGAGCTTAGAAAATTACATCTGGGTGATAAACTGAAGCCCCAGTCACAGACAAAGTCATTATAGCAAAGTGACCCCATAATTTGGAATTAGAAAATTAATTCAGAAACAATGAATACAAAACAAATGAGACTTCTGTTATGGTTCAAATCTGAGAGAGGGTCTGAAGCTGAGGAAACCAAAAACATTTCAAATACAATCTAGACTTATCTTCAGGACTGGAATGTGATTGAAGAATAATAAAAGCTTTGGCCAATCAGTGGCCTCAGCATGGCTGATGCAAGAGTCTAGTATGGCAACAGAAGGTGGAGAGCTTCACTGAACCAAAAATACTTGGCATGGGGGAGGGGAAGAATAAACTCAGCCAGAGTCACTGGGCCATGCCCCACTGGGCTGGAAGCTTTATTGGTTGAATTTCCAGATTTCCAGATTTCCAGAGCCCTAGTACATACTAGATGGACAATAAATATTTACTGAATGAGAGAGAAAAGGAAGAATCCGGAGCACTGACCAGTAGGTTTGCTCTTTGTGGAGCCAGTTCAATGATTCATCTTTTCATTGGTGCTTTTGCTCAGATTCCAGCTGCCCTAACCACCTTCAGATGATAACTTACTTGGCTTTTCACGGAGGCTCTCCTATAAAAAGGCATGTTCTGGTCCATCAATTATAGGCCACTTGATCATTGTGTTTCTCACTCCCAATTAATTGGAATTCTACTTTACACATGAGTTCCTTGTGCCAGCCTGCTTCTTACATACATACTCAGCTCCTTCTCTCATCATGGGTGTAGCAGTTTCTGCTTTAGAGTCATTCTTGCCTGAATGTGAATCCTTACTCAACATATTACTAATCTGTTGGACCATGGCCAACACACCTTTTGAGACTTAGTTTCTCATATGTCAAATGGAGGCATAATGCCTACCCATGAAGTTGTAGTGAGTTATATGAGATAACGGATGTATCCTGAACTATTGTTGAAGTTTAACAAATGGTAGTATCTGTACCTCCTTCAAGCTTTCCTTTCTTAGAGACTGGGTCACAAAAGTTCATCCAGCCCTGGCTGGTTTTCTCAGTGGTTAGAGCGTCAGCCCACGAGAGTCCCAGGTTCAGTTCCCACTAAGGGCACATGCCTCAGTTGCAGTTTGCCCCTGGCCCCTGTTGGGGTCGTGCGGGTGGCAACTAGTCGATGTGTCTCTCTCGCATCGATGTTTCTCTCCCTCCGTCTGTCCCTCCTGCTCTATCTGAAAATAAATGCAATAATGTCTGCGGGTGAGGAGAAAAAATAAAAAGTCCATCTAATTTAGAATATCAGTATTGCTTTTCTTTTCACAAAATCACTAACTTTATAAGTAAAATCTTAAAAATGATTTAGTTATTTCCTTGAAGATTCTAAAGGATTATTCTGCAGAGGATAGTATTCATATCGACTCATTCAAAAATATTTACTGAGGCCCAGCTGGTATGGCTCAGTGGTTGAGCATTGACCCATGCATCAAGAGGTCGCCAGTTCAATTCCCGGTCAGGGCACATGTCCAGGCTGTGGGCTCAATCCCCCATGGGGGGCATGTAGGAGGCGTCCAATCAATGTTCTCTCTCATTGATGTTTCTGTCTTTCTCTCCCTCTCCCTTCCTCTCTCTATAAAAATCAATAAAGAAAAAAACATTTTTAAAAATATGTATTTACTGAGGAATCACTACATGATACCGGGGTATACAGGGACAATTAGACACAGTCCCTGCTTTAGAGCTCTGACACAGCCTGGTGCAGTCAAAAGAAGATATTGTATGACCCTTGCAAAAGTGGTCAATAACACATTCTATTGTTTATTAGAGGGAAGCAGTAAAATATGTAGACATACCAAGGGTGCATCAAGTTGAAGACCAGTGGTGTAAAGAGGTAGAAACAGCCCACCCGCTGTGGCTCAGTGGATTGAGAAGAGGTAACTGGTTTGATTGGGGCGAGGCATACAGGAGGCAGCCGATTGATATTTCTATCTCTTTCTTTACCTCTCCCTTCCTCTCTTTAAAATCAATAAAAACATAGACATAGAGGTAGAAAAAATGAAGGGACTGAATGCTGAGTAGGATTTCAGTGGGGAGATCTGCAGAGGGAACTACTGGAAGAAAGGTTTGAAGGCCAGAACATTGGCAGAACATTGTGCTAGGTGGCATGGGGCAGAAAATGATGTCAAGATGTGAACCCTGCCTTCAAGGAACTCATTCATAATAAAAAGGTTTAGGTAAGACCTGTACAAAGAAAATGGCAACACAAGTGATAGGTGTTATAAAGGAGACCCAGCCCAAGTGCCTTGGTAGTTCAGCAGAGGGTGAGATTATTTTCCTTCTTCCAAGAAGTTGGAGGCAGGAGACCAAGTCATAGGGTCATCTTTGGAATCATAAGCCTAGACTCAGAAAGTCTTAGAGGGGACCTCGGAGGTCACTTAGTCTACCATCACTCCAGCCATAATTCTCTATCCAGAGTTGACAATGATTTTAAAATTGAAACAAAAATGTGGTGCTCTGAAGGAAAACCGTGAAGGAAGACAATGTGTGGGAAGGGAACCGAAGAAGAGGAATTCAGCTTACAGGTGCTGAGGGGCTGGAGAAGCAACTTCCTCCCAAATGGAGAGTTGAAGGCCAGGAAATGGATGAGATCAGGGAGGGAGAGTATGTCTGGAGAGATGAGGAATAAAAACAGAAACTAGGGGAACACCCATGAGTTCCAGGGGTGGAAGGATAAAGAGTCAGAGAAGAAGTAGCCAAAGAAAGAGGGAGAAAAGACCTAGTGAACCCCCTTGTCATAGTTTCTAGAAAGAAGTGGCAGGAATGGAAGAAAGGACTTGAGACCCCAAGGGAGCAGAAGGGGGACAATTGTAACAATAGAGACTGAGGTTAGACTGGAGGATATTGCAATGAATGAAAGCTTTTCCAGAGATTCTACAAATAAGGTGGATTCTCTGTGTCTGACATTTTAAGGGTGGAGCCCTCCCAAGGTCAGGGGAACATGGCTGTGTCCAGTTTGGCTCTATAATTAGCACCACCTCTCCTAACCCTAGCCAGTCCCTCCAGGAACTGAAAAGCTTAAGAACGTATTTGGGAGGGATTTCACACCCGGCTCTCCGGCCCAGCCGGTGAAGTCCCGTTTCATCACGCAGCTCTAATGACTATCCGGGCTGTCACTCTCGTCCGGTATTGTCAACAATCTGACTAAATCATTTTGCAAAAGTTTGCAGCATTCGTGCGGGGGTGACTACAGCTCCCAGAGTTCCCGGGCGCTTCCCTGTGTGGATTGGCTGAGCAGTCGGCTCCTGAGGGGGGGTGTCGCCCCGCCTTCCTAGGAAACAGGCCTCTGATTGGCTGCGGCGTGGGGCTTTTGTGTCCCCGCCCTCCCCGGGGGACCGCGGCGGGCTGAGAGGCGCTGCTGGTGTCAGAGCCCGGCGAACGCTGGCAGTTCCGCGGCGGGGATGCGGAGGAGCGCTGTGTCCGCGAGCAGCCCTTGCCACTGCGGACTTCAGAGGCACTCCAGGCCGTGAAAACCGTGCACCGCGGCCAATCCCAGGCTTCCGAGGCCATTCACCGCTCCAGAAGCCGGACGGGAGGAGAGTCCAGCGAGGCAGCAGCCGTTCCCGGATTCTGGGCTCTCGGAGCGTTCTGGAACCCTGAGAGACACCCCGGGGTTCTAGAACCTCCCCAGCGGCGCCCAGTCCCGGCTTCCTGCGTGCGTCTGTCCACAACCCCCTCCGGTGCACCGGTCGTCGGCGAGTTGCGGCTGGGTCCTGGCGCACACCATGATCGTTGCGGACCCCGAATGCCGCGCGGAGCTTAAGGGCTACCTCCCGTTCTCCCGGGGCGGCGGCGGCGGCGGCGGCCCCGGGGCTGGAGAGGTAAGCAACGGCCGAGCCACGCCACTTTTACCTTGAACCCCGAGCCGCGTCCGAGCTTTGGGCTAGCCTCAGTTTAGTCGGTGCCCAGCCTTCTCCCCCACCACCCCCACCTCAGGCTCGGGGAGGGGGAGTGGAGCGCGTAAACCTGGAGTGGGGTTGCATCAACTAGCAGCCTCGGCCCTCTCCGCCCCTCCCCTTCCCCCTGGGTTGCGGAGCCCTCCTGGGCTCCTTCGGACTCCTGGCCAATGAGAGGAAAGCCTTCTCGAGGTTTCCTTGGGTATGGGCTCCTTGGTCGAGAGAGTCGTCAAGTCCAGGCAAATCCCCGCTGCAGCGGCCCGACCCCTCCTCCCCGCCCCCTTCAGCAGATTCCCTTCCTCTGGGCTGGGGGCTGGCGGGCCGAGGACTCTTTCTAGGTAGGATACGTTCCCGATCCAATCTCCCAGCGCGGGGAATGAGGCACCTGGGACTGGACAACGAAGGTTGACCTCGTCCTCCGTCCCCACCTGCACCCCCGATTTGGAAGGGGGCGCGGTTGCTTCCGGGCCTTGGCCAGCTACCGGGTACGCGGCGGCGGCGGCCAAAGCTCTGGGGAGAGGCTAAAACCCTAGCCATGGCTCCCAAATCAAGCCCTGATTAGGGTGTACCCTACTAAGTGGTGTGAGATCTCAGAAGTTTGTTTCGCAGGGACTCCCTTTGCAGTGAAGCTAAAAATAAAACTGGGCCTAATCTGACAGTTTGCCTTTCACCAACCCCACTACCACCACCCCACCATCACCACCATCGATTATGGACATTTTGTAAAGCACCTGTTAGATGCCAAGTTCGGGTTTTGCCTTTTCTCTGAGTCCTCACGAATAAACTAGCAACATATGAGCTATACTAGAGTCCCATTTTACAGGATGAGAAAATTGAGGTCCAAGAGAGACCATGGAGAAGCTTTCTTCACTAAACCCACAGAGAAGCTCCTTTTTTGTCCTGGGTGTCCCTAGGATTTCCAAATGTGCTTCGCACTACAGGGAGTTTAGTTTGTTTCTTTAGTTTCCTTGCCTGGAGAGTGGCGCAAAGTGTGTTACCGGAGTTGGGAGTCAGACAGTTGCTAGTCCTACATGGTGACCCTGGGAAAATAGCTGGGCTTCTCTGAGCAGCATGGTTTCTGGGAAGGTCCTGCCTCCAGCAGTGGATGGTTTGTGTCCTGGGTTTTCTGTTAGCTTGTTTACCCTTCCTCACCATGGTTTAGGTGCCCCACATGAAGGAACAAAACCTGCTCCTGCCAATTCTCAGCTGTGTGACTTTGACCAAGTCACTCCACACTGAGTCTGTTTCCTTCTTTGTGAAAAAATAGAAATACATTAAGTCCTTATTTAACATGGTCTGTGGGTTCTGTGACTTGAAGCAAAATGATGCATAAGGAGACCAATCTTACCATAGGCTAATGTAAACAAATAACATTGAATGAAACTGTTATTTAAGAACCTGCTGTAATATTTTTTTAAAGATTTTTTTTTTTTTAGTTAGATTCTGGGGCTATTTTTTTTATTTTATTTTATCTTTTGTTAATCCTCACTTGAGGATATTTTTCCATTTATTTTTTTAGATAGAGTGGAAGGGAGGGGGAGCTAGAGAGAGAGAGAAAGACAGAGGTTGATGTGAGACAGACAGCTGCCTCCTGCAGGACCCCAACCAGGGCCTGGGATCAAACCTACAACCCAGGTATGTGCCCTTGACCGGAAATTGAACCTGAGACCCTTCGGTCCCTGGGCCAACAACAGCCACTGAGCCAAATCTGCCAGGGCGGCCAGGACTTTTTAAAAGATTTTTTATTTTTTTATTTATTTTTTTGTTTGTTTGTTTTTTGTTGTTTTTTTTTTATCCTCACCTGAGGACAATTTTCCATTTTTTTTCAGGTAGAGTGGGAGGGGGAGAGAGGAAGAGAGAGAGAAACATCGATGTGAAAGGGACACATCGAGTGGCTGCCACCCGCACGACCAACCAGGGCCGGGGACAAACTGCAACCGAGGTACATGCCCCTAGCGGGAACTGAACCCGGGTCTCTCGGGACCGCAGGCCGACGCTCTAACCGCTGAGCCAAACCGGCCAGGGCTAAAAGATTTTTTATTGATTTTTAGAGAGAGAGAGAGAAAGAAAAACATCGATCACACCAGGCAGGGCTGTAATATTATTTATTAAGAGCACCTACCCCAACTGAAGTGGCTCAGTTGGTTGAGTGTTGTCCTGTGTACCAAAAGGTTGCCAGTTTGATTCCCTGCTAGGGCACATACCTGGGTTATGGGTTCAATCTCCAGTCAGGGCACGCACAGAAGTCAAAGATAGATCTTTTTCTCTCTTTCTTTCTCTAAGTATGCCCTCGGGTGGTGATTAAAAAAAAAAAAATAGTAAGCCTGGCCAGTGTGGCTCAGTGGATTGACCGTCCTCCCATGGACTGAGAGGTCCCAGTTTGATTCCTGTCAGGGTACATATCCAGGTTGCAGGCTTGATCCCGAGTAGGGGGCGTGCAGGAGGCTGTCAATTGATGTTTCTCTCTCATATCAATATTTCTGTATCTTTCCCCCTTCCTCTCTCTCTAAAAAAAAAATAAATAAAAACATATTTAAAATAATAATAATACTATTAATAAGAGCACCTGAGCAGAGCTGCAGGTTCATGTACTAGCCCTCCCACTCACTTTGTGACCTTGGCTAAGGGATCATTTCTCTGATCTGCATCTTCCTCTCATGGAGATTTGATAGTATCTCTGAGGGATTGTTGGAAGAACTGACTGAGAATACAAGCAAAGGCCAAAGCACAGTGCCTGGAACATAGTAACTGAGTCAAACATGCTAGCTCTTGTTAGAATGTGGCCATCATACATTTCTCTTTTCCCCAGAGTGTCTCACAGGGTATGCCTGAGCCTGTTCCTCCTGCCTGAGGTGAGAGTTGGTCCATCCCTCTCTGAGACAGTGCCTGGGAAGTGGTCTGGGCAAGCTATGAGGGAATGGCCTTTAGATGGAAGCCACATGTCTGAAGGGGGGAAAGTGGGTGATGTCTGAACCCTTTCTACATATTCTCCTTCAAGAAAAGAGAGGACCCTGGGAAGATGTCTGCTTTAAATGAGTTATTTAGAAGACAGCAGGGTGCTGAACTTACAAAGCCTGGTAACCCAAGGCCCAAGGGAAGACCCACAAGTACCATCCCCTCAACTCCCATCAGTTCACCATACACCCTTTCAAAGGGTCAAGGCTTTCAAAAGCTTCACTCTAATATTGGTAGTATGTTTTCAGAGCCCTATTAGGCTCTAGAATCACTTCCTCAAACATCATTTCCTCAGGGAAGCCTTTCCTCCCCCACCAGATAAGTCCCCTCTGCATACCCTCTTCCAGTCCCCTTTCTCCTTTGTATGAGCTTGTACCCCAATTATAGTGTAACTGTTGTATAATCAGGCATTTCTTATCTGTTCCCCTTGCTGGACTAGAAACGCTTTACAAGTCACATCCCTAGCACTGTCCTTAACACCTAGGTGCTTGAAACTATTTGCCCTTGTTGGCTTAGCTGACCCTTGTATTGTGCAGGCTTTGAAGTCCCAGATCTGAGCTGTGCCTGTCTGGAACAGGACTCACAAAGAGCTTCAGTGAGTTGTCTCTGAAGAGGGGATAATAGGACCTATTTCCCTCCATGTGGTTGGAAGAAATTGACCAGATCAGATGTGTAAAGCACTTAGCCTGGTGCCCGGCCTATGGTGTGTTTGTGGTCCCCCCGCCACTCCAGGGCTGGTCAAAGGCTACTTGCACTGTCTCCCTCTCAGGTGTAAACCCAGGCAAGTATCTGAGTTCAGCAGCAGACTACAACTGCCCTTGGGGTGGGGGAGTCTCTGCCCCTTCCCAGCTGGCAGAGTGACTTCACAGGTGTCTGTAGTCAAGTCCTAGGGGGTGCATGCTGTGGAGAGGATACCAGGAATAAGGTCTGGGGCTACTCCAAGAGGCTGATATAGGTGGTGGACAGAACCCTTGGAAGCCAGACTGAGCTGAGTTCAAATGTCAGATTGGCCACTTGTCATTTGGTACTTAACCTTTGGAACCTTAATCTTTCATTAAGTGTGAAATAGAGACCCTCCACCCCACCTACCTCACACCAAAACTGATGAAAATTAGAAGGAAACTGTATACAAGTGCCTGAGCTAATATAAAAATTAATGTTTAGGCCTGGGCGGTGTGGCTAGGTGGTTGAACATTGGCCCATGCACCAAGAGGTCACCGGTTCAATTCCAAGTCAAGACACATACCCAGGTTGTGGGCCAAATCCCCAGTGGGGGGCATGCAGGAGGCGTCCAATCGATGTTCTCTCTCACTGATGTTTCTATCTCTTTCCCTCTCCCTTCCTCTCTCTCTAAAATCAATGAAGACAAAAAATTTTTTTTACATTAACATTTAGTAAATGCTTAAATTAGGAGCCAGGCACTGAGCTCTCAGGTGATTATCTCTCTCTTTTTTTTTTTAAATAATGCTTTCTTTTTTTTTTTTTATCCTCATCCAAGGACATTTTTTGATATTTTGTTCAGATAGAGTGGGAGGGAGAGAGACAGAGAGAAACATCAATGTGAGCCCTGGCCGGTTTGGCTCAGCGGTTGGAGTGTTGGCCTGCGATCCAGAGAAACATCAATGTGAAAGGGACACATCGAGTGGTTGCCACCCACACTACCCCACCAGGGCCAGGGACAAACTGCAACCGAGGTACGTGCCCTTAGCGGGAACCGAACCTGGGTCTCTCCAGACCGCAGGCCAACGCTCTAACCACTGAGCAAAACTGGCCAGGGCTGATTATCCTCTTTTTACAACTTATTTGAAACCCTCCCTGTTGAGTGGCCACCCAGGGGGCTATCTGACTAGTGTTCCTGCTGCCCTGTGGAACCAACTTATTTGGAACTATAGAACAGACATCAGTGGTCTTCCCTCTGCCCATACTAGCTGTATTACCTTGGTAGCTCACCTGCCCCTTCTTGTTTCCGTGTTGTCATCTATAAAGTGGGGGTGGGGATCTTACCTTTATCGTGTGTACTGAAACTGTACTATCCAGTACGGTAGCCTATAGCCAATGGTGGCTATTTAAATTTTGATAATTGTTTTAAAAATTAAAATTCAGCCCTGGCCGGTTTTGCTCAGTGGTTAGAGCATCGGCCCACGGACCAGAGAGACCCGAGTTCAGTTCCCGCTAAGGGCACGTGCCTCGGTTGCAGTTTGTCACCAGCCACAGTTGGGGTTGTGCGGATGGCAACCAGTCGATGTGTCTCTCTCACATCGATGTTTTTCTCTGTCTCTCTTCCTCCCTCTCACCCTCCCACTATATCTGAAGATAAATGCGAAAATACCCTCAGGTAATGATTTTAAAAAATGTTTTTAATTCAGTTTTTCAGTTGCAGTAGTGTTATTTCAAATGCTCAGTCCCCATGGCTAGGGGCTACCATCTTTAATTGACAGTGCAGATATAGACTGTTCTGTCATTAAAGTTCCCTTGAACTGCTCTGCACTAGACATTCTGGGGATTAACAACAGGGAACTAGTTCCAGTGTGCACCCTCAAGGTAAGGATTAATACAATGTGAAAGGTGCTGTGATTGGGGGTAGTGGGTTTCTGGGAATATGGGCAGGGAGAAGAAGCTTCTCAATCCTGGTGAACCCTAGATGCAAAGCCTTGGAGCTATTGAGACCTTGAAGAGTTTAGAGAATGGGAATCGTTTCTGCTGTTGTAGAAACCTGATTTGTATCCCAACTCTGCTACCTCCTTCTTGGCTGAGTGACTTTATCTCTCTGAGCCTTATTCCTCACCTGTAAAACAGAAACCCTAGTAGTAGTAGTTCCTGCCTTAAAGTGCATGTGAAATAAATGCTTAGCTAGTGATAATCATGGTCGTTACCCACCATTATTATTATTGACTTCTTATCCCAGGGAACAGGGGAGGGCTGATTTGGAGGAGTCATCTCTTGGTAGTGAGACCCTGCCCTGTCTGCTTCCTCTGAAGTTCTGGGTGTGAAGATCAGGGAAGCATTCAGGGCATTGAAACTCCGGATTAGAATTTGCTTGGTCTTGCCTTCAGAGCTTTGCAATTTCTATTCTCTCTGGCTGGAATACTGGCCCTGCTGCCTATCAACTCGTTTAGATATTTGATACTTAGATAACAACTCAAAAGTTATCTCCTCAGTGGCTTTCCCTATCTACTCAGACCTACAATGTTGCACACCCACCCCCAGAGCATCATAAATTTTCTCATTGCTCTATTTCATTTACTTTATATAAAATCTTATTATTCGAAGTCCTATTCATTATTTGTTTGTCTTTCTCTGTTAGATTGTAAATTCTGTGAAAGCTAAGACTTTATCTTTTTACTCCTATACTGTTGCTGCCTGAAATGTAGTCATCAAAAACATTTGTTGAATGAACAGATTAATTTTGGTTCCACCTGGAAAGCACTTAGCACAGCACCTTATACACCCTGGCTATAAATTATGCTGTGCCCACCTAATTAAATTAGAATTACTAGAGATGGGACCTTGACATTGGTATTTTTTATAAAGTTTTCAAAGGGATTCTAAAGTACTGCTTGGGTTGAGAAGCCATTGTTTGAAATGATGATGTTAATGATAGCTGACTTCTATTAAGTGCTTACCGTGATAGAGGTACTGAGGTAAGGGCATTATCTCATTAAATCCTTAAGACTACCCAGTGAAAGTAGGTACTATTAGCCTCATCATTTGTTGAGGAAACTGAGGCTCACATAGGTGGCAGATGGTGGTGGTCATTTGAGCCCAGGCAGTTGTTGTCAGACTCCCTATCTTTTACTGTAATCCATCATCAGTGCTGAAAATGTTGGTGGATCCAGACCTCTCACTTAAAGATCCACAGGTTCCTTCCCTTGACAGCTCATGGAGCAGATTTTAGAGTGAAAAGGGACTCTCAAGGCTGTTCCCTACACCTCACTAGCACCCTGGTGGGCTTTCCCGGTATCCCCAGCCCCAAAACTCAGTTCCACCCTGCCCTTCCCCACCCCACCTGGCTGTGGTTTTCTCTCTGTCCTCAGATCCCCTGAGGGGGAGGCCTTTTTTGTGAAGTCAGCAATTCTTATCTCCCACACTAAGCTGTTAGGCTTTTTCTCTTTAGTGAGGGAGGAGGGAAGCTGAAACAGGAGTGCTTGGGGCTTATGGTGGTTTCTGTGTTGGACTTGGACCAGCCTAGCCTGGTAGCTCCCAGAAGTGTGGGCTGAAAAGGGCCTGAGCAATCAGCCCAACTACTTTCTTTGTCCAAGGTTAAGACTGAGAGTTCAGGTTACTTTCTCAGAGTCACACAGCAAGTTAGTGGCAGAATTGTTATTCACACCCCAGACTTCCAAGTCCCACTGTTCTTTCTTTTGTCCTATTTCAGAGCCCCAGAGCTCTGCCTCCGTCGGGGGGATTTTGGCCATCTGAGAAGGAAGGTTCAGTTATAATCTTTAGTTCCTGGACACCTAGGTCCATTGGTAATAAGTCTGGATTTTAAAGAGATGGGGAGAACTAGGGGACACTATTTTTGTCCAGTGAGGATATAACTGCTTTGGGTAAACTCTTTCTAAGACCAGTACTGAGAGCCCCCCTCCTAGTTACCAAAACAAATGAATAAGTAAAATATCCTCTGTGAACCTCACCTCTTGGACTAGGATCAGATTTAATGAGTACATAATTGGTGGTTTCCAGAGAGGCTCCAATACATGCATGTCAGAATAGCTGCTGCTGTCAACTATGTATGCTCTGCCCTCATTCCCTTGATGCCTCTCTGCTTTCTCTCTATTCTTTATTCTTAGGCTAGTGTGAATGACTTGGCCTTGCTCTCCACCAAATGTGATCTGACTGTAGGGAGACCTAATTTAGACAAGTAGAAGACTGTTTTCAGGAGCAAAAGCACTGGGAATTGTGGGATCCCAGACAAGGATCTGAAAGAAGTTTCCCAGACCCTGGAAGACTAAGAATTAGTCACTCTAATTTATCTCAAAAGTCATGGGAGGTAGAGGCAGGGCTTTAAGCTAGTTGGTCAGATTTGCACTTAAGTAAGTTACTCTGGCTGTAGAAAGTTTGCCCTCTTTAGAAACCACCTGGGTTATGTACTCACTAAATCTGTTCCTACTCCTAGAAGTGGAGCTCTGGGGAGATGTTTTATTTATTCATTAATTTTGTTAATTTAGTAGAGGGTAGGTAGGATAGGGCAGGGAGACCATTAGTGAGGCTGTGGTTGGTAGTTCAGACAAGAGATGGTAGTGGTATATAAGGTGGTGATGGCGGGAGGGATGAAGAAACGACAATTTGAGAGAGCCTGCAGCTGCATCATGGGAATCTAGGGTACTTGGTAATCTGGCTTCAGGATGTAAATGAGGGGGTTCTTGTATGGATTCTCCAGGGCTGCCAAGAAGGTGGCCTCTTGGAGATGTGCAGCGTGGTGGCTGTGTATTTCCTTTCCCCAGGCCTTTCCCACCCAATACAGAGGCTCCTGAGTCCCTCAATTCCTGAAGAACTAAGCCTGTGGTTGAGCCCTCTCTCTACCCACCAAACAGATGTATATCTCCCACCTGACTCCTCCATGCAGGTTGCACCAGAAAGGAGGTTTTAAAAGTTCAGTGAGGTCCCTTGGGTAGGAGGAGAAAACTGGAGAGATAATTGTCCTTTTAGTCCTCCCTTTTATCTCCAACTAACCATGATGTGTTTCCTTCTAGGAGCAGAGGGTGAGGCGGGCTCGGGGAGGTCCTCGAGGACCCAGCGCCTTCATCCCAGTGGAGGAGGTAAGCTTGGAAGGGGTTAGGAAGTGTTGGTCACTGGGAAGAAGGGACATAGGACACTGGGTGGATGAGGGTCTTTTTGTGTATCTTGAAATAGCAGTTTCGAAACTACCCCTTCAGGTTCCTGACTTATTTAATCCACAAAACGGGTCTGTGAAGCAAGCAAATCAAACCCGTTTTGCTGTGAAGAATCAGGCTCAAAGAGAGAAAGTGATAATAACACAGCTAGGTAATGAACAAAATTTGGATTGCCAGAACAAGGCCTTCTTTTCCTCAAGAAGATAGAACCATCTGTGTTTATCTTCTCATCCTTGACTCTGCATATATTAAAGTTGTTTTTTTTTACATCAAAAGTGTATGTTCATTATAAAAATTTTTTCCAGTTTCAGAAACCTCTAGTCTTTTGTAATCCCTCTCCCCACCTTGAAGTAATCAGTGTTACTTAACCATTTGCCATTGTTTTCCAGACTTCTTTTTCATACACAACCAAGGTCATAGTTTACAGCATGTTTTTGGGAGGGAGGTTCTTGTTTTGTGTTTTCTCTCTTAATACAACAGAGACCTCTTTCATTTATTGAGTCAGATCATTCATTCATTTATTTAACAGATAGCTGTTGAGTAATTAATTTGTGTCGGGCACTGATCTAGATGATGGGGATACAGCAGAGAGCAAGACACACAAAAATCCTTGCCATCATGGAGCTGACATTCTAGTGTGGGGTTGGTATGGTGATGGGGATGCCTTCAAAGTACATCCATAGAAAAATTATTATTTATTTATTTTTAAAAATCCTCACCCGAGGATATTTTTCTATTTATCTTCAGATAGAGTGGGAGGGAGAGAGAGAGAAACATCATGTGAGAGACACATCGATTGGCTGCCTCCTGCAGAACCCCAACCAGGGCCAGGGACGAACCACAACTGAGGTACGCGCCCTTGACCGGAATCGAACCCGTGACTCATTGGTCTGCGGGCCTACGCTCTAACTGAGTCAAACCAGCCAGGGCCATGCACAGAAAAATTAAAAAATAATAGTTCCCTTCTTTTACTTTGGCCTTTAATGAACAAAGACAAATATTTTGTTTTCTTGTTCTCGTTTCTCTTCTAAATGTATAGGCCAAGTAGTTAATGAGCTGTTAACAAATATCTAAGCCCCCCAGTTCCCTCCACCCTTTGTAAATGGAAAGTAAACAACTATTCACTGATTATTCATCTCTGTAGCCCAGAATTTTAAGTTCGAGTATTGTTCTTGTATTTTATTTTTTTATTTAGAAATAACCACTCTTTTGTGATAATGGGGAAAAAATAGACTTTGGGATTAATCTGGATTTGAATCCTGGTCTGTCATTCACTAAATCTTTAACCTTGAGCAAGGAATGAAACTTCTCTGGGCCTTGATTTCCTCATCTGTCAATGGAGGGAAAGTAATATTCATCTCATAAGATAATTGGGAAAATTCAATGAGATAATGCAGGGGAAGTTCCAAACTCAGCCCTGGCATGAAGAAAGCACTCAGGAAGTGTGAACTATTTTGCACCCACTTCCCATGGCTGTATGGATCTATACTCTTAGAATAGAAGCTCCATGAAGGCAGGGAAAACTATTTTTTTGTTGTTGTTAATCCTCACTTGAAGATATTTTTTCTGTTGATTTTTAGAGAGTGGAAGTGGGAGGGAGAGACATCGATTGGTTGCCTCCCAAATTCACCCTGACTGGGGCCAGGGATCAAACCTGCAACCCAGGCACATGCTCTTGACCAAGAATCGAACCCGAGACCCTTTGGTGCGAGGGCCAACACTCTAACCACCGAGCAACACCAGCCAGGGCAGGAGAAACTGTATTTTAATCTGTGCCTGAGTTTTGCTATCTCAAAATGGAGAAAATAGAATTCTTATTTCACAGTTGTAAGAACTAAATGAGTAAATACATATAAAGTACTCAAACAGTGCTTGGCACATCGTAAGCATTATATAAGTATTGGCTATTATATAAGGAGTTTAATAAGTAATCAATTAATGAAATATCTTTTACTCTTACTCTCTTTTGGGACATGGTTGTTTTCAGTTTCTTGCTGTTATAATCCCACTGCAATGGATATGTTGGTGTCTTTGGTGGGAAGGGCAGGAAGGGAGCCCATCTTCTCCTCACCTTTGCTTGGCAGGTCCTTCAGGAGGGAGCTGAGAGCCTTGAGCAAAACCTGGGGCTGGAGGCACTGATGTCCTCTGGGCGTGTGGACAACCTGGCAGTGGTGATGGGCCTGCACCCTGACTACCTTAGCAGATTCTGGCGCCTACACTATCTACTGCTGCACACAGATGGGCCTCTGGCCAGCTCCTGGTGCCATTACATTGCCATCATGGTGAGCCTGTCTGAGCCTGCCTCTTAGGGGTGGCCATATGGGGGTGCTTAGTCAGCAGATCTCTCTGCTGGGGACTTCCTAAACCAATTCCATAGACGAGGACGGGAAACAGAGGAAAACCCTAGCTCTATTTGACTATAGAGTTTTAGATGGTGAAGAGAAGTATCTTTAGTGCCTGCTCTACAGCTTGAGAAACTGAGGCATAAATGAGTAGATGACCTGCCCAAGGTAGGACAACAAACCAGTGGCAGAGCTGGGGTTAGAACCTGAATTTCCTGCCTCTCAGGGAACAGTGAGGCCTATGATGTCACCCTCCATGGGGTACTCACCCTGAGTAGGGCACAGAAAAAGTAGCATGACCTAAGTTCTGTCCACTTGCCTCCATAGGCTGCTGCCCGCCACCAGTGTTCCTACCTGGTGGGCTCTCACATGGCTGAGTTTCTGCAGACTGGTGGTGACCCTGAGTGGCTGCTTGGCCTCCACCATGCCCCTGAGAAGCTTCGCAAGCTTAATGAGATCAACAAGTTGCTGGCACATCGTCCGTGGCTCATCACCAAGGAGCATATCCAGGTGCGGTGGGCAGAGATGCAGGTCCCTGAGGCAGCACAGGGCTTGGGCTGGGGCTTGGCAGACAGCCAAGGGGCAGGCCCTGAGCAAGTCTGTCCTTCTTTCCTCTCCAGGCCTTGTTGAAGACGGGCGAGCATAGCTGGTCCCTGGCTGAGCTCATCCAGGCCCTGGTCCTGCTCACCCACTGTCACTCGCTGGCCTCCTTCGTATTTGGCTGTGGCATCCTCCCTGAGGGGGACCCAGAAGGTAGCCCTGTTCCCCAGGCACCTTCACCCCCCAGCGAGCAAAGCAGCCCCCCCAGCAGGGACTCATTGAACAATTCTGGGGTAAGTCACTGGCCCAGGGTTTGGTGGGGGAGGAACCTGGCATGTCCTGTCATCTCTGGGTAGAAGCCACTGCTTCTCCATCTCACAGTGAGATACCTTAGAAAAGTTATGTGACTTTGAAGTTCCATTTCCTCATCTACAAAATGAGGCTAAAGATTACTACTTCATAGTAGGTTGTGCGGATTAAATGAAATAACCGTGTGACTGGCCTCTCAGCATGTATATCTGTAAGCTTAAAGTCTCCTGGTTTTTAGTATTTTCAAAATACAAAGTTTGCCTCTTATTCTATAAGATGGCCTTGTTTGTTTTAGTATGAAAATAGATACTTTAGCCTTGGTTTTGCTCAGTGGTTAGAGCGTCGGCTTCAGATCCAAGGGTCACTGGTTTGATTCCCAGTCAAGGGCATGTACCTGGGTTGTGGGTTTAATCCCTGGCCCTGGTTGGGTTTGTGCAGGAGGCAACCAGTCATTGTGTGTCTCTCACATCAATGTTTCTCTCTCTCTATCTCTCCCTCCCTCCCTTTCACTCTATCTCTATCTAAAAATCAATGGAAAAATACCCTCGGATGAGGATTAACACACACACACACACAAAAGGAAAGAAAATAGATACTTTAAAAATCCCTTACCTATTAAGGTAGTCGATGCTCAGAAGCCATATCTATTCATGTCTGTTCGGTAGCTTTATTTATTTTTTATCGTTTTATTTATTGATTGATTTGAGAGAGAGAAACATCATTTTGTTGTTCCACTTATTTATGCATTCATTGGTTGATTCTTGTATGTACTCTGACCAGTGATCAAACCCACAACCTTGGCATATCGGAATGACGCTCTAGCCAACTTAGCTACCCAGCCAGGGCTGTTCTGTAGCTTCTTTTATTTTTATTTAAAAAAAAATTTTTTTTTATCTTCATCCGAGGACATTTTTGCACTACTCTTCAGATAGAGTGGGAGGAAGAGAGGGAAGAAAGGAGAGAGAGAGAAACATTGATGTGAGAGAGACACATTGATTGTTTGCCACCCACATGACTCCAACCAGGGCCAGGGACAAACTGCAACTGAGGTACGTGCCCTTAACGGGAACCAAAACTGGGACTCTCTGGTCTGCAGGCCGACACTCTAACTGCTGAGCCAAACTGGCCAGAGCTAAATATGTTTTTATTGACTTTTTAGAGAGAGAGTATGGGAGAGAGAGATAGAAACATCGATGTGAGAGAGAGATATTGATTGGCTGCCTCCCTCACACCCCCCCACTGAGGATCAAGCCCGAAACCAGGGCATAAGCCCTAACCGGGAATTGAACTAGAAACTCTCAGCCCATGGAATGACGCTCAGTCTACTGAGCCACACTGGCCGGGCTGTTCTGTAGCTTCTTAAACTTCACTTGGGGAAGCACAGACCATGTGAGCTGTCCATTTGGGAAGGCCTGGCTCATGGGAAAGATGTGTGGAATTTCCTGGGGCATCCAAGGGAGGAGAAATAGATGGTCATCATTGGGTCCCTCCTGCAGGGCTTCGAAGCTGCCCGTGACGTGGAGGCTTTGATGGAACGCATGAGGCAGCTGCAGGAGAACCTATTGCGGGATGAGGGAGCATCTCAGGAGGAGATGGAGAGCCGCTTTGAGCTGGAGAAGTCAGAGAGCCTGCTGGTGACCCCCTCAGGTATGGGATCACAGGTGTCCAGGTTCCAGGGGCTGCCCCCTTCTTCTGCCATCCCTTCTGAGAAGTAGGCATCTCCATTAACTGCATTTCTTTTATTTGGGGGTCAGACCTGTGTTTGAATATGGCCTGTTAGCCTTTCTGGCAGTGTGACCACCAATAAGTCACTTCCTACCTCAGGGCCTCAGTCTCCTCTCACACGAACGATTGATGTGTAGGATAAATGGAACAAGAAAAGCAAAGTTAGCACAGAGCCTGGCCTGGGGTAACTGGCTCCATAAATAACTGCTACTATAATGATTGTTGTTATTTCTGGGGGCCTCATCCCTGGGTTCATGGGCCTGATTCACCTCCTCCCCCAGGCCTGGCTCCAACTGGAGTCCTGATTCCACCCACTGTAGCAAGGGACTTTCTCTGGCCTTCTACTCTGTGTTGCCTGGCCCCATACTGATGATTAATCAGGAGTGGAGACCTCTGTGCTACATGCCTTGGCCTCACAGTGACCTCCTTTTGATGTTCTCAGCTGACATTCTGGAGCCCTCTCCACACCCAGACATACTGTGCTTTGTAGAAGACCCCTCTTTTGGATATGAGGACTTCACCCGGCGAGGGACCCAGGCACCCCCTACCTTTCGTGCCCAGGTAGGTTCTCCCCACTAATCTTGGCATTACTCCTGATATGCAAACAATCAAGGAGTAGATGGTTTGAGTGGGTAGAGTTGGGTACCTTCTCTTCCTCAAGATTCCATGAGGAAAGTGAGAGATCCTAGATCACCAAGGGATCCATCTGCCCCTAAGCTCCAGGGAGCTTCTCCCCCAGGGGAGGTCATCCCCAGACTACACCCTCTCAGCTTCTCAGGCTCAGATCAAGCGGTAGGTTAGATTTGTGGGGTGGAGAGGTATGCTCCAGAGGATGGGTTTTCAGGCTAGCCTTAGGCCCCAAAGATTCCACTTACTGACCCCCATGTTTCTCAGGATTATACCTGGGAAGACCATGGCTACTCCCTGATCCAGCGGCTCTACCCCGAGGGTGGACAGCTGCTGGACGAGAAGTTCCAGGCGGCCTACAGCCTCACCTACAATACCATGGCCATGCACAGTGGAGTGGACACCTCCATGCTCCGCAGGGCCATCTGGAACTACATCCACTGCGTCTTTGGCATCAGGTAAGCTAACGTGCCCTCATCCAGGGCATGTGTTCACTGAAAGTCCTCAGTCAGCACTCACAGTTGTTTCCTTTTTCTCTTTCTTTTCCTATCTTCCTGCCTATACTATTTTTCAAAGCAAATGTATTTCTTTACTAATTATAATAAATGGCCAAGCTGGGTGGCTCAGTTGGCTCATCCTGTACACCAAAAGTTTTCAGGTTCAATTTATTGGTAAGGATACATACCCAGGTTATGGGTTCAATCCCCAGTTGGGGCATGTGTGGGACAACTGATTAATGTTTCTCTTTCTCTCTCTCCCCCTTCTTCTCTCTAAAATCAACCTGACTGGTGTGGCTCATTGGTTGAGCATCAACCCATGCACCAGTTCGATTTCCGGTCAGGGCACAACCCAGGTTGTGGGCCCAGTTCCCAGGGGGGACATGCAGGAGGCAACCAGTCTATGTTCTCTCTCATTGATGTTTCTATCTCTCCCTCTCCCTTCCTCTCTCTAAAATAAATAAAGAAAAAATATTAAAAAAATAAAATCATATCTTCAGATGAGGATTGAAAAAAAAGAGAGATAATAAATAGATGTGCTCACTGTTTGAACCTTGTAAATGAAACTCTTAAATCCCACCCCCTAGAGATATGTATGTAAAACTATAACTATATATATATATCTCAGAGACAGACATTTAGTTATGCTTGTATTTCTGTTCCAAGTAACAATTCTCTTATAATAAATAAGGACAATATGAATGCCCATCAGTAGGAGATAATAATATATCCATTCACTGATATACTATGCAGCTATTAAAAATTACAATAATGGTCTATTTATTTATTTATTTATTATCCTCACTCGAGGACATTTTTCCATTCTTTGTTCAGATAGAGTGGGAAGGAGAGAGAGGAAGAGAGAGAGAGAGGAACATCGACATGAAAGGGACACATCAAGTAGCCGCCTCCCACACGACCCAACCAGGGCTGGGGACAAACTGCAACTGAGGTACGTGCTCTTAGTGGGAACCGAACCTGGTCTGTTTGTTTGTTTGTTTATTTATTTATTTATTTTAGAGAGAGGGTAAAGATGGGGGGAGAGAGAGAGAGAGAGATAAAAACATCCATGAGAGAGAACATCTATTGGCTGCCTCTTGCATGCCCCCCACTGAGGATCAGGCCTACAACCTGGGCATGTGTCCTGACTGGGGATTGAACTGGTAACCTCTTGGTGCATGGGTCAATGCTCAACCACTGAGCCACACCAGCCAGACTCAATTTAGAATTTTTTTTTTCATTTTAGAATCTTAAAAAACAAAATGTTACACTCTAATAACATTGTGGGAAATTCAAAGAATTAAGGAAAAAAAACAATTTCCCAAAATTCTACTACTGTACAACTACATCCACATCCTGTGACATATTTCTCCATTGCTTCTTTTCTTTTGTATATAGTTGCTTTTGTATAGTTGAAATTATAATGGTTATTTTATTTAAAAATATATGTGTTTGATGTTTTGAAGAGAAAACAGCCTAATTTTTAGTAAATTTAGAAAACAGATAACAAAAAGAAGAAAATAAAAACCATCAATTATACCACCTTTTTCTTATTTTCAAGTATTTCCTTCCCATCTTTTTTCCCATGCTCAAATAACCAAAACATACATACTTTTATGAAAACAAGATTTTTTTGCCCTGGCTAGTTTGGTTCAGCAGAGCATCAGCCCAAGAACCAAAGGGTTATGGGTTCAATTCCCAGTCAAGGGCACATACCTGGGTTGCAGATTCAATCACTAGCCCCAGTTGGGGTCCTGCGGGAGGCAGTCAATCTGTGTGTCTCTCTCACATTGATGTCTCTCTCTCTCTCTCTCTCTGTCCCCCCCCGCCCCCGCCTTCCTCCCTCCCTTCCTTCCACTTTATCTAAAAATCAATGGAGCCCTGGCCGATTTGGCTCAGCAGTTTGAGCGTCGGCCTGTGGACCAGAGACTCACTGGCTCACAGGACTGGGGAATGACTAAGTAACCTCTAGACTGGTCACCAACTTACTCTTTTACTTTGAACAAGTTAATTGCCTTCTCCAAGCCTTAGTTTGCCCATCACTAAAATGAGTACAAGCTCTTCTTTGCTCTTTCCCTCTTCCTTCTCCAGGGTATATACTTGCACTCACCTCCTTCCCTATCTTTCATGGCCTTTATTGTAAAGTAGTGAATATAACCTTGGAGCCAAGAAGAGCTGGATTTGAACCCCATTCCCAGCTGGGTGACCTAGGGCAAGTGACTTCACTTCTCTGAATCTCAGTTTCATCTACAAAACGAGGTAGCCCTAGCCAGTTTGGCTCAGCGGTTAGAGCATCAGCCCTTGGACCAAAGAGTTGTCCGGCTATGGTGAGGGAGGCAACCAATCGATGTGTCTGTCTCACATCAATGTTTCTCTCTCTCTCCCCCTCTGAAAATAAATGGAAAAATATTCTCGAGTGAGGATTTAAAAAAACAAAAGGAAGTAGATGAATATTATATTGTACACAATAGTTTTGTATACACCAATGTACAATAGTTTTAAGGATTCCATGAATATATGTTCACATGGTACATAGTTGGTACCAAATAAACAGTGCTTATTCTCTATGCATTTCTTGGCCTGTGACATATGACATCAGCTATTTTTCTAAGAGGAACCAAGCTTCTAGCTGCTTCTTCCCTTCTGCCTTTTCTTGCTATTTTCTGTTCCTTCTTTTATAGAGTGGGGCTAGGAGAAAGGAGCTAGTTCTGGGAGCTGACAGTGAGTGATACTGTTGGGCCTTTTCATCTAGGTATGATGACTATGACTATGGGGAGGTGAACCAGCTTCTGGAGCGGAACCTCAAGGTCTATATCAAAACGGTGGCCTGCTACCCAGAGAAGACCACCCGGAGAATGTACAGCGTCTTTTGGAGGCACTTCCGCCACTCGGAGAAGGTAGGAGTGTGGCCCATGGGGGAGGGACAGGGTAGAACTAGACAAGCCTGGCCTGTGGAGGGGGCCAAGGGGTCAGGACTCAGTGAGTACCCCAGACTGAGTCTGTACTGCCAGGTGGGATACCTGGGCATATTTTCCTGGGTTTAAATCCTACTTCACTATGTGATTTCAGACTCCATTTATTCACCTATAAAATGAGAGTGTGCTTTACTGTGTCCTCAGTGGCAGCCAGGAGGACCTGGGTTTAAATCATAATATTATCATTCAGTAGCAGTATGACCTTGGGCAAGTCACTCTGCCTCCCTGAGGCTTCTTTATCTTTACAATGGGAATAAATACTACTTGCATATAAAGATTTCTGGGAGGGTAAAATGAGAAAATGAATGTAAATCTCCGATCCTAAACAGGTGCTCAGTGGTAGCTCTTGTTTTTAGCTTTGGGGATAAAGAGATTAGTCACCATAGACATGAATGTGTTTGAAATTCCTCAACAGTCATTGCACCCAACTGCTTAGAGCCTTCAGAAATGGAAGGAAGAGATGAGTGGTCAGGGATAGTAGCAATGTGGGAGGGATGGGGATGGCAAGGTCTGACATCAGTTGCTGACAAGCCCTCCTCTGTGCCCAGGTCCACGTGAACTTGCTGCTCCTGGAGGCCCGCATGCAAGCTGCCCTGCTCTATGCCCTTCGTGCCATCACCCGCTATATGACCTGACTCCCACACAGGACCTGGGCCCGGACCAGCTGACTGTGGGAGCATCGTCCTCCTTGCAAGAACTTCTCTATTTGGAGACAGACCTGATCCCTTTCTGTCCCGTGCCCACCCACCACACTGTGGGATGGGATTTTGTGTGAGGTACCGCCTCCAAGCCACATCCTCCGTTTTCTCACTGGAATGAACAGGATCTCTGGGATCTCAGCTTTGGCCCTGGGAGCTGGAAGAGGACTAGCAAGTCCCCAGGTGCCCTTCTTCCTGCCCCTGAACCCAGAAGCAGAGGGCTCAGGAAGTAAAATGGGCTGAGTTCTGACTTGTGTGCCCTAAGCTGGGCCCCAGGCACCACAAGTACTGTAGCCTTCCTGGACTGGGAAGGTCCCCAGCTGGCCTCCGAGGGAGAGGGGCAAACACCTCCAGGGACCGACACTCCAAACAGCTTTCCTTTTCCTTCTCCCTCATTCTGATTTCATTACCTCTCACCTACCATTAACCCATCAATGTGAAAGTCAGGGTCACAGCTGGCCTGTGCATCCAGCTCCCCAAAAACCTGTTCTGTTGGGCAGCCTGACGGCCCCTTGTTTCCTGATTGCCCCAGTCCTACTTCACCTCCTTTGACCTCCTTTGACCTATCCTTTTCTCCCACAGCTGGTGGTATGAGGCCCCAGGAAGGAGACCAAGCACATCAAAAGTCTCTAGATTATCTCTAGATAATTTGAGTAACTCTGTTGGTCACTTTGCCTTCTGAAGTATAGGGAGTATTAGATTATAAATTCTCTGTATTTTGGTCCTTTATCGGTGAAGTTCAAACCTCTTCAGGGCCTCACCTCTAGAGCCACAGTCCATGGCTGTGAGTAGGAGGACAGGGGGCAATCTCTTCTCCCCAGAGCTGCCCAGCCCGGCACCCTACTTTCCTGTCTCCTGTGGCTCTGCTGCAGATGTTTGCCAAAAACTTGATCCTTTCTAGGTGGCACATGGCCCAGTGGGTTTCTTGTTTGGGCTAGGTGACTGTGGCTATGTTGCCAAATCTCCTTGACCTCGATTTCCGCAGTTTCAGACTAAGGGGAGGGGCTAAGTTTCCATGTCTGAGTCTTCACTCTGAGTTTCTCAGGCCAACCTGCCAGTAGTGAACTGCAAATCTTGCAGGATTTTGAAGGCCTCTGGTGACTCCCACTCTTGCAGTCAGTCTCCTGGCTACCTTTCAAGGACCACCCAGTTTCTGTCCCCTTCTCAATTTTATAGGGGGATTGCTTGGAGCCAGAAGCAGCCAAGGACTGATTCCAGGCACTTTCTGTAGCAAACAAGCTGTGAATTATGACTTCCCTTGCCCTTCTTCCAGCATTATGTGCCTCCTCTCTTGACTGGTTTGGAGGTGACTGAAGAAAGACAAGGGCCAATATGCTGCTTGCTTCCAATATGCTGGGGTGGGGCAGGAAAGGAGCCTGGTCAATGTGCCACATTTCATACCCATGCAGGCATGGGAAAGCAACTGGCACCCCCTCAGGCCTCAAAGTCCTCCCTGCAGTGAAACTGAGCAGGAGGGAAGAGGCCCCAGCCTGGGGTTTGGATTCTAGAGGGGATATGATGACTCTGTAAATGTCCTGTGTGTGGGTGGGAAGGGGTATTCAGTGTTCCAATGCAGAAGTCTTTGGCTTTGCTACCAGTTCGGTATGATGAGAAATAAAAGTTCACTGAGGTTTTGTTTTGTACTTCTTGTTAATGGGTTATTTTTCCATTTCCTAAGGGTCACGGTTCACCTCTTAGCAGGAAGCTGTGATTGCATCATGGACCTGACCTGCTAGCCCCAACCCTACTGGGCACTTGTGCCCAGTGGCTGCATGATTGGAAGTCGTTGGCATTGAAATTTATGTACCTTCGGTATCCAGCCCTTTCACCATTTGTGGCAGTCTAGGCACTATGGTAAAATAATGACCATGTTACTTTTTTTACTAAGCCTGGCCCTTGCCTGGGTACTTGGAGGCCATTTCTCTGAATCTGCAGCAATCCTGCAAGAGAAGTGAGACTCAGAGAGAAAGTGACATTTCTGAGACCACATAGCTAGTAAGTGGTGAAGCCAGGGTTCCAACTGGGGTCTGCTTTAACCTGAGGCCTGGGCATTTCACCTTGCTTTATTTTCCTCTACTGGGTTCCCCCTGTGGCAGAAGGAGGCTATTTGAGAAACTCTGGGAACCCCCTTCTGTCCCTTGCCCCACAACATTATGCTTATCTGCTTCTCATCCTTCCCTCTTTCACACCAAGGAGATAGAACCAGGCATAAAGAGATAGATGTGACGCCCCCACCCCTAAGTTGTGCTAGTGCCATTTAGTAGCTGTGTAACCTTAGTCAAGCTTCTGAGCTCTGGGCACCAGGGACTCGCACTCTATCAGGAAAACCATATCATGACTAAGAGTTAAGCCCTCTCTTGCTGTCTTCCCCATTTGCCTTCATAAAATGAAACCGGCCTCCTCCAGGAAGTCTTCCCTGACTAACTTCATATACCCTTTTCCCTCTACCCTCTTCATTTTTTGCAGTGTTCCCAATACACTTGTTCTTCCTTCTGCGGTCATTTAAGAGGATGTGAAAGAGAGTAAATCAGACTTAAAGTACTGACTCAGTCTCTTATCCTGGGGAGAGGGGTAGGGGGCAGGGGATGCAAGCAGGGTATCAATTCCACTGTGCCTCAAGTTTCCTCTCCTATGAAAACAGACACAAAATGTTTTCATTTCTTTTCCAGGTAGCATTATTGAGTGACTATTTCCAGGTGTTTTCAAATTTAGTCTCTCACTCTTCACAACCCTCGGAGGAAGGAATGGTGTTCCTATTTTATAGATGTAGAAAGGAATGTCCAGTGAGAGCCTAGGGAACACCAACTTAACAGACTGACCTGGAGACAAATTCCAGCTTTAACAACTCAGGTACCTATCACCTAGCACCAGTGAGCCATATATAGTATACAGATGTCTGCCCGATGTCACACGAACCCTTGTTTATCTGATTCCAGAGCATTGCTTTTGTCCCAAAACTCCTTTATGCCTTCAATCGGATTTTTAAAAAATCATGTTCAAGTCCATTTACATGTGGAATTGAAAACTCTTGGCCCCAGATTGGCTCTAATGAATCTGTTTCATTCTTCTGCAACTCGCAGTCCAAGACCTGGGCACATCTACCCAGTTTGAGTTTGTGGAAGGCTGCTGGTGGCTTGATGGTTTGTGTGGCTTTTGAAGCCATGCTTGGATTGAGGACTACGGAGAGTGAGTAGAGAGGAGGTGGGTGAGTCTCCTCCAGCAGGTTTCAAATATTCATCAGAGCCCTAGGAAAACTGGAAGGAAGATGTGGTTCACAAACTTTTTGTGCCTTAGAATCCCCTAAAGGACCAGGGGTTGGCGGTAGAGCTCAGAAATTTGCGTCTTTAACAGCTTTCCTGGTGTTCTGATGCCCAGGCCATGCTTTCATTCAGTAGATGCTGCTGGGCCAGTGTGGCTCAGCGGTTGAGCATCGACCCATGCACCAAGAGGTCACTGGTTCGATTCCCAGTCAGGGAACATGCCCAGGTTGTAGGCCAAATCCCCAGTGGGGGACATGCAGGAGGCAGTCAATCGATGTTCTCTCTCATCGATGTTTCTATCTTTCTCTCTCTCTCTCCCTTCCTCTCTCTCTAAAATCAATAAAGAAAAAAAAAATTTGTTTAAGTAGATGTCGTACACATAATATGGAAATGCCCTGGACACAGAGCAGTGAACAAAACAGACATGGTTGCTGCCCTCTTGGCATTTATTGTGTAGTGCAGGAGATAGACATTAGATCATTACACAACTAATTACGTAAATTATAATGGTGATTGGCACCTCAAAGGAGAAATACAAGGCGCTTTAAGAGCATTTACAACCTAACAGCAGAGCTTTTCCTTCCAAGGAGATATGTTGGACTTTTGCAGAAAATAAAACAGCCACAAGTAGAGCAGTTTCCCATACACTAAAGTACTTTCTTGGAACCTGAGGGCTCCATGGAACAGTTAGAAAACTGCTCATCTGCATTCCTCTATAATGGGTGCTGTGGTGAGCAACCCAGACTGTGGCTCTCATTCCTTCCCCACGCCCACTCCACTGGGAGAGGCCGAGCTAAGGCCCTCTCTGGGAACTTCCCTGGGCTGAAGGGAGCACCTAGCTCATGGTATGCCCTGCCCCAGGCAGTCTGCCTCCAGTGACTGATTGAAGGGACAGGGGTGTACAAAGGCCTGGCCCCTTGACCTCCACTTAAAGCAACTCTAAAGGTTATCTCAGCTCTAGTGCTCCCTTCAGGATCAGCTGAGGCCAGCAATGCAGCCCAACTTCTTCTGTCCAGCCCTGCTTCTCACTATCCTATGACGTTGATCCCCAGTGAACCCCCTGTATGCAAATTTCCATCTCAGAGTCTGCTTTCCGAATACTTGACCTAAGATACTCTTATTACAGATGGTGAAAATAAAGACCAGAGAGGGAAAATGACTCGCTGGAGGTCTCACAAGCCTGGACCTTCAGATCCCCTTTATAGTTTGTCACCACTTTGTGTCAGAGTCCTACAACTTCCTGTCTCTTCCTGAGGTTGGAGGCAGCAACTGCTATGCTGAAAGGGTCATCCCCACGCCCAAGGCTGGAGACCTTGAGCAAGTCACTTCCCTCTCTGGGGAGAAAGTTAAATGCACTGCCTGAGTGTTCAATCTCCTCTCAAGTCAGCCTGTGTGTATTGCCCCTGGTCCTGAGAAAAACCATGTCTCAGCTGGTTCTAGCAGCACAAATTATTTTCCTCATGTCTGAGTCACCTCTGACCTCACCATTGGTTCCAGTTGGGGGAGCCTTTAGTTTCAGTCTCAATTCTGAGTAGCTAAACTCACATGTCAAGAAGGAACCCCTTTTATTTGTTCATGCCAACATGATCGAGTACTTATTTTGTCCCAGACACTGCTAGGTTGTGGTAGTACAGCAGTGAATGAGACAGAGTCCTGGCGCTCACAGGCCTTAAAGTCCAGAGAAAAAGGTGAACATCATGCAAAAACCTGCAGTGAATTTGGGGGGAATAAAAAATCACAGGGGGGCCCTGGCTGGTTTGGCTCAGTGGTTAGAGCGTCGGCCTGTGGTCCGGAAAGATCCGGGTTCTGTTCCCGCTAAGGGCATGTACCTCGGTTGCAGTTTGTCCCCGGCCCTGGTTAGTCGTGCGGGTGGCAGCCACTCGACGTGTCCCTTTCACATCAATGTTTCTCTCTCTCTTTCTTCCTCACTCTCCTTCCCACTCTATCTGAACAAAAAATGGAAAAATGTCCTTGAGTGAGGATAAAAAATATATATATACATATATATATATATTATAATCATTTGTGTGGCTCACTCATCTCCCCTTTCGACTGCAAGCCCATGAAGGCAGAGGTTTTTGTCCAGCATTGTTCACTGCTGTATCTCTGAGCCTAGAGCAAGACCTGGCGTGTAGGAAATAAACTAGGTGTGGAATATAAGTTTGCATCCACAAGAATGCCAGGTCTAGTGCTGGATCCCGGCAGTGGTGTTCCAGGAATAACAGCCTCCCCACATTTTGGACTTGGCCTCTGCTCTGGCTGTCTCTTCCTGGCTGGTTGTCTATTATGTCGCCAGCTCTCAGACGCTGTGTCAGTCTGGTGTTGGGGAAAGAGCTTGGACTTTGGAACCAGACAGATGAGGCTCAAATCTGAATGCAAGTCCATCTGGAATGAGACAGAGTATAAATAAACACAACCAAGCATATGACCTTTGATAGCTTTCTTTAATTTCCTTATCTACAAAATGGGAGCATTACCATTAAAAATTATTGTTGTCAGGATCAAATGAGAAAATGCTTACAGAGAGCCTGTTTAGTTAATTTAGTTCCTCCCTTCGGTGGAAGATAGGGATTGGGTCAATGTTATCTTCATAGACTAACAGCCTCAGTTTAGTCCTCTGTGAAATGAGAGTTGTGAAATGTAAGGTAATATAAAATTCCTACAACCTGCAATGTTCTTCTCCCAGACCTGTGTGGAGCTAGCTCCTTCTAAACCTTAAGTTCTCACCTTTAGTATTATCAGAATTCTGACAGGATCCTTGTTTCTCAGCCTAGTCCACTCCCTCCCATTTCTTTTCTCTTTAACACATGTCATAACCTTTTAATGTTTCTGGCCTGTCTCCTTGTCACTGTTGTATTCCCAGTGTCTACCATAGTCCTAGAGTAAGTGCTCAATAAATGCTTGTTAATTGTAATAAATATTAATTGATCACTTATTTACCATCCAGGGACTATTCTAGGCAATCCTGACCAGAACCCCAGGACATAGGCGGGGCAGGGATTTACCCATTTTAAAGCTGTAGCAGCTGAGCTCTAGCAACACTAATATTGCTCAGGGATTTCCCAAGCAAATTAGCAGGG